TAAAAGGCATTATTTAGTTATATACCATTTACGGGTTGCCTTTCCTATGGCTGTGTCTTCATCCCATAATACTTGAATTCTTCAGGAGTTCTGAAGTAAGTGCATTCATGAATGTGTGTGGGTTATGTTTAAGAAATTGTGCATTCACAGCTATCTAAATGCAACTTGATTTGTATGGTTTAGAGTCAGAGCAAATTTCATGGCACAGTAAATCGTCACTGCTTAGCTTTTATATTTGTATTTGCCAAGTTCTCAGCTAGATTCAGTGCCCTCCGAAACCACAAGAGGAGGATGGCTAAATACAAAGATCATCAGATGAATGCAGCAAAGTCAGAACATTATGAAATCAAGTCACTTTTTCCTTCACCCAAACAATAGAAAAAGTATCAGCAGCTCAGTTGTTCATACTCAGAAAAGACATTTTGGAAACAACCTGGGCAGAAAGTCATCTTTGCATTTGTGGCATATAGGACAGCATCCAGTATTTGGCTAGTATTCAGTAGAAGTATATTGAATAAATAAATGGTTAAGGGCATTAATCTGTGTTTCATAACTTGCAAAAATACTCCCTTGATATTAAAAACAGAACATATCCAGAAAATCACAGCCAAAGTGTAACATAACAAAGACTATATCTGGTCTTTGCCCCCCATTTCTTGCACAGAACTTCAAAGATCTTTTGAGTTTTCGGACTGACAGCCATGTGTCTTTGTGATGCTGCTGAGGTGACTCATAGTAGGCCCTCGGACAGTTTCAAGGGAGGAGGTGGACCCATCAGGAAGACCCAGTAAGTATTTAGCGGGTAGGAACTTCCAGTCCTACCCCCATTCTCCAGGCAGGGGAGAGGAAACTGGGGATTGACTCACTCATGGCCAGTGATTGAATCAAACATGCCTAAACAATGAAATCCCATAGAAAAACTCCAAACACTGAGCTTAGTGGAGCTTCCTGGTTGGTGAACTTACTGAGCCACTGGAAGAGTGGTGGGCTCTGCCTTTATGGAGACAGAGGCGCCTGTGGCCCACTTAGACCTTTCCCTCCGAACTTCTGCATCCAGCTGTTCACTTGCATACTTTGTGATAAAACAATGCTTGTGAGCCCTCTGTGAGATGTCCCAGCAAATGATCAAACCTGAGAGTCATGGGAAGCCTTGAATTTGGAGATGTCCAGACAAAAGTTCAGGAGGCCTTGAAGACATCAGGAATTTGTGGCTGGCATTTGAAATGGGACAGTCTTCTGAGACTGAGTCCTTAACTTCTGGAGTCTTCACTAACTCTAGGTAATGTCAGAACGAAACTGAGCTGAGGGGACCCCAGCCAGGGTTGGAGCATTGGTGCCAGAGCGCACAAAAAAGACCGCGAGGAAAGCCAACACATCTTGAGTGTCTGTAGAAGAGTTGCTCTGATACAGATCAATGGAAAAAAGTAAACATTGTAACCCTAAAAATCATGGATTTATGAGACAGCTGTGTACAGCAGACAGTGCATAAAAATTAAGCCTTAATAACTATATAACCTTGGGAAAATTACTTGACCTTGAGAATTCCCAGTTTCCACATCTTTAAAAATGAGGACAATGATGCCTACTTATAATAGTCCATTTTGTACTAACTTGGCTGTACCACAGTGCCAGATATTTGGTCAGATATTATCCTGGATGTCTCTGTGATGGTAGTTTTGAATGAGATTTACCTTCAAAGCAGTGGACTTTGAGTACAGCAGACTGTCCTCCATAATGTTGGCAAGCCTCAGCCAACCCACTGAAGGGCTGATTGTCTGGCTGGAGCAGAAGACTGAGCTGCCCTGAGCAAGAGGCAGTCCTGCCAGCAGACTTTAGCCACACCCTTGGTTGGATCTTTGCACGAGTGTACAGACTGGATTTGCCAGCCTCCATGACCGTATGAGTCATTCTGTTAAAACAAATCTCTCCCTCTCTGATATATACCTTTATCTATCTATCTATCTATCTATCTATCTATCTATCTATCTATACACACATCTTAGTAATTGTGTTTCTCTGGAGAATGATTACTAGTACACTACTTTATGTGGTTGTTTGGGAATTAAATGAGACAATGTATTTGAAACCACTTTGTAAATTTTAAGCTTTATAAAACATAAGAATGGTTATGTCTGCCTAGCACATGATAGATGTACCAGACTTTGTTGAGGCTTTATAGATATATAAATTAATGTTTATAGATGTGGTCTTAGATCAATGATACAGGTAAATGGATTTAAACTATTAAAGGAGACACTAAAAGACAGCAACCAATAGGGAGTGGAGCCTGCTGGGCTTCTGATGCAGTCAGTGTCTGTTGCCCTAGCCTGTAACTCCATGTGGAGTAGAAACCACAGCTTAGCTGGCTTAGTTCTACTAACACACTTGGCATCTGACACAGTGCTTTGCACAGTCATCGCCCTGAACATTGCTGAAGAATAAGTGACTTTTATCTATATGATTGCCCAAAAGTTCATTTTTGTGAGTGACTAGGTAGCCAGAGTTCAATGCCTCTGAGCTAACATTGGAAAGGAGGTCTGGTAATGCCCTTTGAAGAGCTGGATGTCAATCATTCTTGGTCTGTGTGAAGAACAAAAGAGCTGGAACCTCAGGCTGACTCAGGGGAGCAACGCCATGAACGCCAATGTCTCCGTGAATAAACCGGCAGCCAGAACTCACTCTGAAACAAACAGCTTTGCTTCCTTGAACTTTTCTGAACTTTACTTGAGGAAAAATCAAGGCCACTGCCCTGGAAGAATATTTTTAAAGAGGACAGTCACTGGACTGCTATTTAACAACTCAGCAAACACTGCCCACAGTCACTTGTCAACTCAGATTTCTAGGTGACACTTCTCGTAGCAGTCAGCTGTCAGTCTGGATTGCATTAGTATGCTTCAAAACTTTATGTATTGTGGTTTGTGTGGGCAGATATTTTGAGACTCGGCTGCGGAATACTATGGCTGCTTTTAAAACTTTCTGGGCAAAGCTTCAGTCTGAGAAAGGAGATCAGCCTTCCAGTCTTGTTGGTATTTTGGGAAGTATGTCATCATAGCGACCTTTCCAAGCTGCTCTGGATATGGCCGGTCAGGGAGAGACCACCGGGACAGCCTGCCTGAAAGGGAAACAGCAGCGGGACGCTCTTCTCTGCTCAGAAAATTGGGGAAGAACTTTAAAAATAACACCCAGTTTACTGAGAGTATATTCCTATACAGCTGATTGGAGGGCCACTTGGCCAAACAAAATAACCAAAAAAAAAAAAAAATCCCCCAAACTTGAAAACTATGTGTATTCTTTCACTCCACAATGTCACCTTGAAGAATAGACTGTGATAAAATAATTTTATCTCTGGAATGATTTATTCATTAATTTCTGTTCAACACAGTGTTGTTTGCAATAGTAAAACATTGGAAATCGAAAAAATGTCTAACAGCAGAAAATTCCCTAAGGAATCTTGCTGTCTCCATATGAAAGAATAGCACACAACTGTTAAAAATAATGTTACAGAAGAATACATAAATACAGAATGACATAGAAATGTGTTCACCGTCCATTTTCACATCAAAAAGCAGTTTACAAAACTTATACAAAAATCTATTTATATTTTAAAATCATGCAAGAGAATAATCTGTACACATGCAGAGAAGAAAAGACTAGAAGACTATCCATTCGAATGTTAATAGCAACTATCTTAGGGGGAAATTTTTATCATCTCCCTGATGCTACCCTCCCAAAATCTTATATACAAGTATTACATCATTTATAAACATTTCAGACAAAAGGAGCAGCAAACAAAACACCTGCGATGAATTGGAGTTCATCACAGAGAAGAAAGAATGCCCCGCAGCCCTGGTTCATGTCAGGACTTTAATTCTAAAGCAGTTCAAACTGATTTACATGAGCCCTGATGGCACAGCGTGGGCTTAAAGATTTTCTCTTTTTTTTTACTAAATATGAGGCATTTTCTGCCCATACTATGCCAAGCCTTTTACAGCATGCGGTCCACATACAGGGAGGTGGCCTGACACGTTCACACAAATGATGGCACATAGATGCCACCTTGGAAACAGGAGGTTCGGTCCTTGAGCCAACACTCTCCACGCCCCTGAAATCCCAACTGTGTCTGTGGCAAAATGAATAAAGACCTTGTGGTCCAGATGCCTACATGCACAGATGCACCACAGCTCGTTGAGAAGTTATCCACATCTGGGGCAAATCCTCCCTCTCTGAGGGCCGATGGGCCATTGGTGATGGCACCCAGCCTTTTGTAGTGTCCTTTGCTGTCCCTGACAGAATGGATTGGCAGCATCATCTTGTCTGTTCATGTCAACCATCTGCCACTCACTGAGGCAGCTGGCTGACAGTGGACTTGAAGACTTAAAAAGACTGAGGGTGAAAAGGACTGCAGGTAGAAGGTTTAGTCTGAATGAGTGCCCCCATGTGAAACGTGATGCTTTTTTCAGTCCCACTCCAGCTGTTCCTGGACCACAAGAGGGAAAGAGCCAAGAATATGTGTATTTGGTCCGCAAGTGAGTAAGGCAGAGACCCAGATGAAATTAAATTTAAACTCTAAGTCTAAAAAGTGCACGGTTAGAGGGAGGACGGGGGAGAGAGTTCCAGGCTACATTAGTAAAGCTGCCCTCAGCAAAGTCCCCTTGCAGCCGATTCGGTCATGCCTGAAGGAAGTTTTGAACTATACAAAGTCTAGCATACTTTAGAAAAATGTCAGAGACTAGCCATTTTAAGTACATAAGCTTCAGAATGACGACTCCAAGGAATATGCATTCTTGACAGTACTCCATAGTCCCTTACAAACCAACAGTGAATCCAAGTTAACCCACCCTCATGTATCACCATTATGACTGTTCTCAGAGGTTAAAAGTGGAAGATTGTCAAGCATTTTACAACCAGAGAGTCTCCAGGTACTCCCCAGCCCACCATTCTTCCCGGAATACACAGGTGGTTACAGGACAACACACAGCTCATTAGCCTGGCTGACTCACCTTGCTGCCGCCGGGCCCCCGGAAGCTTCAGTCTGCAGGTGTGCAAACCACGGCGCAGGTGGCTGCTGCCTTCCCCGAGTATAGCAGACATGGTACTGGCAGTGTCACTACGGCTGCAGTATCACTAGGGCATTCCCTTCCCCTGGCCACTCACCACAAATGGTCTTCACAAGACCCCCAGAGCCCCAGGGGCACACGCAGGTCCTGTCCCTGTGGGTAAAACATTTACTGCTCTAATAAATTTCTATGTGTTTCTCAGTCATGATTCTTAAAATAAATATTCACCAATATAACTAACCCTACTTATTAAGACGCCAATGCATTTGAGTAAAAACACGAAATTCTTGTTTCATTTCAAAGCATACTGAAATTTCCCCCCTTATAGTATAAAATCCTACACAGTAACTATTTCTAACAGATTACAGTTTGGGCACTTTTTCATTCCTTCTGCTGATATGAAATCTGATGCCCCATATATTTAGAGAGGAGTGCTAGAGTAATGTATAGTCAAGGGGGGAAAAGTTCTGCTGAGTGATTTCTAAGCCTGGTCTGTGTTACCCTCCCAGACAGCTGAAAGTGAACAGTTCTTAAGGGAGGCTGGAAGGAGGAGGAGCCCAGTGGGCTGAGCTGATTAGCATAAAGAGGCAGGCGAGAAATAGCACTGGATTTGCTTTGAATAATAGTAACCACAGCAGGGATTCTAAAAAGATGTCCTGATGTTACTGTAATCGCACATATGATTTCTGCTGCTTTGTTGATAATTAAAACGAAAGCTCAAAGCAGGGGTTTATGCTGCATGGATATTCATCTGTAGATAGGAAATCGGAAGGGTGTAAATGGTAGTAAAAATGAGCTCATGGAAATGTACTGCTGGGACTTTCAATTTCTGTAAACACCTTAGAGTCTTCAGAGATGGGCAGTTAGAGAGTGGCCCGCCTGCCAAGGTAACTATTTGGAGTTCTGGAAGAAAAATAAACACACAAAACATTATCTTTCCAGAGATCTAGCTCCGTTTCCCCTTAGATTTTTTATTGCAGCTTCTAGGTCATAAGACCAAGTTATTTCCAGTGAGTTTTTTTTGGGGGGGGGGCAGAAAAAGCATATTTCATTGGAATAATAGCATATTTGTTAATGCTTTAAAATAGTTCCCAAACAGCTTTCATTTAACTTAGGAGCCTGTTACCTCTGAGGTCATAATGAATGTGGCAGATCTTTCCCTTCAAGACTCACAGCTCTTTGGAGATTCAGAAAGGAGTTGTGGGAGTAAAGGAAGAAGGCAGAGCTCATTAGCCTGAATATCTGGATCCCGCAACTTCCTGCGCATATTTGGAAATTGGTGCAAAAGTAAAAATTGACCCCCTGGCCAGATCTGGGTGGACATCCTCACTTTACTTTGAGGCATTAACCATTTCCCAAGTGTACTCTGAGCTGTGAGAACTCATAAAATCGTGATTGCTCTTTTATAATTTTTATGCTACAGAAACATATAAAATAACATTAGAGCTGTCAGCCACAGTAAGTATCAGCTATCCTCAGCCATGGCCCTTACTTTGCAGAAACACCCCTGGGTTAGTCGTTCACAACATGCACATTGTACATGGCTTTTTGCTTGTAAATAAAAGCAAGAAGTCAGAACGCAGAAGGTCAAGTCTGGTTGTGTCAAGAAAAAAGGGAATAAGATTTGGCATTTTACTTGCGATTAAAATCCTAGTAAAATTCTTTTACTAGAATCCGATTAAAGTCAAATTTCTTCCCTTATCAATTCTCTGTGATGCCAAAAAGAGGCCAGTGGTGTCCCTGGTCTAGGTTCTTCCTTCTGCTCCATGTTCTCTCTGCCCGACCTGGGTCCCTGTACGCCAAGGGTGGAGTGGAATGAGGTGGTGAAGACAATCGATCTTATAAGCTGATGCTTTTGGGGTGGACGCTGGACAAATGGATATCTTATTATTAGACTTTATTGCTCCGAAAGCATAGTGCTTGGTTGAATAATGTAAGTGGTACTATGTGTATTGGAGGGCTTTCTTTTTTCAGTGGAGCCATGTTTAAAAAGCTGAAACACATGCATTTTACATTAGGATACAAGCTTAAAGAGTAAATCTGCCTTATCTCAAAAGTATTGATGATATCTCATCTACAAAGTATATACTTTTTGAAGGTCTTCGGACTGCTTTGAATGACCAGGATTATACAGAAAGAAAAAAAAAGCAGTAGTATTGCATTTATCACTTTTGTACTCAAGGAACAAGATGAAAGAACCTCCACAAGATGCAAGCGAGCACTCCAGGGCCCTGGCCTCAGCCTCGTGATGGCCCCACAGCACTTACTAACTCAAGGCTGAGGAACTGGGGTTGAGGCTTTAGTGTTGATTTCCTGTTGCTTTTAGTGTCGATTCCCATTCCTTCATATTATCCAGTGCTACACTTTGTTCCTAAGTCACTCTTCCTTGCACCAAAGATACAGTGGATGAGGAAGCTGAGTTTGAGGATCTCACTGTGGCTTATGCAACGTGTACATGAACAAGCTCCATCAAGGTGGGCTTCGTGGCTGGGCATAGTTGTGTTACCCTGAGTTGTGGTATGTGTTAGCTCAAAGTTTCCCAAGTAGCCCAGTTGGCTGGATTTCCATAATTGCACTTTGTAAAACATAGGAAATGCAAAGGTTATATTAGAGACTCTTTCGCTTGAACACTTGCTCTGTGGACTCAGGAGGCTACTCTGGCATGGCATTATGTGCTTACTTAATCAGAGGGGCTCACTATCTCAGTTGCTACCATTGATCTTAAATTCACTGAAGACCAAACTTGGTCTTGGTTATCAGAAATATTGCTTCGCTCATAAACATTGCCTTGGCAGTGCAAACTAATTTGGGCCCCCTCTTACAGATGAGCCTCAGATTTGGCTGCCCCAGGGCTCCCTCTGGAGGTCAGCAGAGTCCAGTTAGCAGAGTAGCCTTGGCCTCTGCAAGATAAACCCAGGTCTTCTCTCCCGGTGCCCACAAGAATGGCGTCTTGCACGTGTGATATCAGAAACTGATCATCTGGGTCTAAGATTGCAGGAAAGTTTCCTGATAATTCTCCTGTGGGTAAAATTTGATCATTGCTGTGTGCAGGTGTTTAACCTCTGCAGCTTTACATTTTTCTATCTTTACTGAAGTCTTTTGGCCAAAGTGAAAACAAGACAAAATAAAACCAAATGTGAGAAAAATGTGGAATTTTATTTTGTTTGTTTTAAGTGGCAAGGGAACCGGAGTACAGTGGTTCTGGCTCCATAATATCCCCCATCCAGGTGGGATCAAATGATCCCAACCAGCCTGAATTCCATCTAAAAGTGTTTGAAGTACCCAGGAATTGGGGTCAATGGGTCTGCAGCAGGACAGAACTCTGAAGGTAAATACTTATTCACTGGGATCATTTCCAAAATAAAGCAAAGTAACTTGCACCTGATCAAACTTTTGTTACTTGAGTTGAATATGCACTTACAGGAATAAAATAGCAACCAAACTATTTTCCTCCTTCTCTACCTCCCTCATATTTTTGTCGTTCAGTAGTTCTTACCTTCCTTCCTCCCTCCCTCCCTTCCTCTTTCCCTTCTCTTTCTCTCTCCTTTCATTCATATTTTTTATGTTAATTAGGTAGAGTATAATGTAATTTTGATCTATTAAAAATGAAATTATTCTATATAACTGACTTAAAAACATTTTGAGTAAGGAAGATATCGGGGGGTATAGAGGAAATAAGATTTGCCATACATAGATAATCATTAAACTTGAGTGATGAGTCCATGGCATTTATTATATGTTCATGTCTACTTTTACATATATATACTAAAATTTCCACACTAAAATGTTTTAAAATATAATAACTTGTAATGTATCTAATTGAAAAGGTACAATAGGCAAAGTGCTAGATTTATTAGGATGTGGAGAAACTCTTCAAATGTACTTTCCTATTTAATTTTTTTACTTCATATATTGTAGAACATATAGAAAGGTAGAGAATGTTAACATTCACACTGTATTCGTGGGGCAGAACCTGAATACGATTTATAGACAAAGAAAGCAATTGCACTGAGGGACATCCTCAAACATCACCAGGGGCAGGGCTGCAATCGCTGGTTATTCAGTGACCACTGTGGCAGAGGAATGGGCCTGGCGTGAAAAGGACATGCGCATTTTTAAAAATAACCAGTCATTTTACTTACTACTTCTGAACTGCACACGTGTTCCCTTCTCTACTGTATTTCCATACTTTCATTAGTATTCTATTATTTCTATTTCTAAAAATACAGTTGGGTTGTACCTTATTCTGGGCTGTAGACTAGGCAGGTCACATACAGCAGTGAGTGGTACAGGGGAAATCAAGAAAAAAAATCAAACTTCCACCTCTGATTATTTCAATTATTTATCACTTATTGGGAGTCTGAAGTTCTCCCAGGAACTCTGAGATCTAGATTTAGATATTATTGGCATAATTACATAAAACTACTTGTATGTTTTTCTCCTCTCTCTTTCTGTATATTACATATATTAGCTACATGAGCAAACATATACTTGTTCATTGTCAGCTTTGCAAAGTGAAAGTATGTAAATAGTTAATCCTAAGTAGAAATTTGAAGAAGACAACAGAGAAAAGATGTTTATAAATCACCTGCAGGAAGGACTAATCAAAATAATAGGCTGAGCACATGCTTCCAAATCCATTCAAGTGGTATGAAAGATTATACAGATATAAATAAAAGTATGGACAATATATTTCAGAAAGTTATCTTTATGTATTTGTGATCATTGATTGAACAATTATGAAGAATTACAAAAAGATAAAAAGAAATGGAATTTGAACAATAAGAGTGGAATAAACCACAGTGACAGAAGAAGCATGGAGTTAATAAATACAGGTAGCATGGCAATCATCACATGTTAATAAAATCTTTTAAAAAACACAATCCTAACAAAAGCATCCTTTAAGATTGTGAGTTAATCTGCCTGGAAAAGGCTTTTATACTGAAAGTAGAAAGAAAAACAGAGCTGGAAATGCCCTAGGACTGCTTTCTTTCTACCTCCAAATGGGAATTCACAGGGAGGGAGACTGGAGAGGAAACTTGATCCATTCGGGAAAGAAATACACAGCCTTCCATGGCCAAAGTCAAGTCCTCCTCTGTGGTAACCAGAGGAGGTCTTCAGGCTGCCTGTCTGGTCTTTATCCATGAACCCAAAAGTGAAGTCTGTCAACCCAACCATTGCACTTACACAAAGCACACAGTCAACCCTCGGGAAAAGCCTGATTGGGGAAAAGACCTACACAGCTGCCGAGGAAAATCATGCTAACTCCTCATACAAATCAGCCTCAGTTTTTACTCATAAATGTAAATGGGAAAGGCAAGATCATCAGATGTTTGAGGAAGACCAGTAGAAGAAGGAAAATGACCAGGATATGCAACCATGGTGATGCCAGAGAAAATAGAATAAGGAAAACAAAAAAAGAACTATAAAAAAATAAGTTTTAACTAGTGTCCTCAGAGATAGAAAGACTGTTACATCCATAATATAAGAA